TAGGATCCCTCGGAAATAGGAAGGGGAAACTTTAAATGACTGAGCCGTTTTTTAATGGGTACCTAATAACTATAATTTTATATTAATGTAATTTTTTTTTTTTTTTTGGTACAAAAATTTGAAAGGTTTTGAAAAATATATTAAGTTCAATTTAAAAAGTTCAAATAAGGACTAAGGAGGTGATGAGGCATGAATTATAAGTGGATGTGAATACCTTGGAAATAAAGTGAAGGGGAAAAGATTATACAAGTATATCATAGGTGACGAGCGGGTGATCGAGTGTAAACTGGGTATGGATACTTTGGTGAATGAGTACAAAAACTATTGTGCTAAATATTAAGTTGAACACAAATTTACATATGTAACTGGTTACAGGGGTGTGGCCAGGTTATTCGATTCACTAGGGATTACTCAGTCAATTAGGTGTAACTTGGTTAAGGCTTAAGGGTTACTCGATGAGTTAGGCGTACCTTGGTTAGGGGTTATTGGATCAGTTGAACGTAACTTGGTTAGGGGCTACTCGGTCGGTCAAGACTTACTCAGTCGATCAAGAGTTACTCAGTCATGGGTTACTCAGCTCGATTGGTCAGGCGTTACCCGACTAGTGTTTTGGTGAGTGTCAATGTAATACCCCAAATTTTGGAGTATTTTTGGTCAACGATTTCTTTTCAAAAATAAACTTTTAAACTAATTATTATTATTTTCAAATTGTATAATTATTATTATTATTTTCGGATTTGAAAAAAAATATTATTTCAACGTAGGTTTTAATTCTATTGAAAAAAACTAATTTTATCTAAAATTTGAATTTAATCTTATCATAGTTAGTCACATGAATCTATCTTATACCACACTTCCACCCAAATTCCACCATATATAATTGTTGGCCGTGAGAAAGGGAGGGCACCAAAACCAACTACACTACTTCTCCTTCCACACTTCATCTCCATTAATTGGTAAGCCAAATTGATAGACGGAGGCTACTAGGTGAACGTTTCGGAGGTTAATTACCTTGAGTTTTACGCACGATCAAGGTAATTTTCAATGTCCATCATCTTTAGAATCCCGTTAGGAAATTGTTTTGAAACATTGTGCGCCAAATACGTGCTTATGTAATAATATGTGATGAGTGTGCTATCGTATGATATATTTTGGAATCATATTATATAATAGATTTCTATTTTGTGTACTAGTATATGTATTTTCGAAAAAAAAAATGATTATTTGACATCGTATGAGTTATTTAAAATAAATAATCTTTGGGAATTGGATGATTTGATTATATGTGATTGATGGCCTCATGTGGGATGACTATGGACTAATAATACTGAAATTGAAATATTGTTACTTGGGATTAAATTGATTTGTGTAATACTTGTGTACAGTGTAAGCAGATGATTTTATCTAATAAGATGTACAGTGAAATTTAATCTAAGAATAGAAATGAAACCCGAAAGGGTGAAGAACAGGTTGCCCACTAGTAGTTATGGTTGCTACTAAGCTAGTTGGTTTAAATTATTGTATGTTATTGTTAGTCTTCCTCCTAATCACTGGGTATTGGTGAGGGGTGTGCACACTAGGGACATTCTGCTTTATTTCATGGCCATTTGGGGTTACGCGCAACCCTCCGCAAAGTAGGTGGTGATAGGGACTAGTCCCGGCTTACTAGCGTTCTCTTTCCCTTTCTTAAATAAAGTAATAATATGTTATGTGACAATTTGAACTTGCTTGAGTATTAAAATATTTATGAGACTATATTATGTATAAAATGTCTTCGAACTAAAATTATTTATTTTACGGGATGGAGTTGAAATTACTTTTATCTGATTTTTGGGAGTTTTCTCTCTTTTCTTATTTCTGATTTATTTTGCAGGTCGGTAAGAGGGTACTCGGTTACGTGTGAGGAGACGTTAGAATAATCATGTAGCTAAGACAATTTAGTCTATTTGTGAATTTAATTATTTCCTTTTAACTAGTCTTTTTTTTTTTTTTAAGATAATTTGCAGTTTTGATGTAATGACTATTTTATTTTGCCACAACCTAGACCCCTTAGTTTATTAATTATAATTTCATTTTTGCTTTGCATTTATTTTCTACGGAAAATAAGTGTAGCAGTAACACTCTCAGAGTTCGATGGTTGGATTTTGAAAGTTAAAAAGGTTACTCTTTTTGTTTTAAAAAGATTCGAATTTTGGGGGTGTTACAGTCAAGCTGCCGCATGGTGTGGATGGCCACAACAAAAAAAGCACTGTTTGTATAGAAATCTACTTTTGGCCTCCTGTCCCGACAGAAAGTGTAATGACGATAAATAAAACCATCTTCGTGTTGGATCAACGTGAAGAACACTTATGGATAACTGATTCAATCACAAGAACACAAAAATGACTAGCCTGACCCAAAAACAAATGAAATAAGGTCCAATTAACTACACCCGATCATAATTAGGCTTAAGCTCGAGCTTAAGACCTAAAAATGACGGATTTAGAGGCGCCTAGGTTAAAAATCAATGATGCCGCAAAATGTCTGCGTGTATCTCACTGAGTCGTGCTGGTCTAGCAGGCGCAACTAACTCAGTTGTGTGTGACACCCAGCGCAACTGCTAGTGATGCGCTTGCAGAAGATTCAGAAATTCATGAAAATATAAAACCGAATCTTATCTTAATGCCGCGCGCAAGACATTCAGTTGCGCTGCCCCCAACAACACAATTAACCAAATCACTTGCGCTGGGATGTTGCACGTTACCCATTCAGATGCGCACGACACCTGCTGCGACAACATGCTCAAAACCCTAAATGCACCCATTCCCTATAAATAGAGGCTTAATACGAGGCTCAAACAAACAAAAATTAACTAAATACACTGGCAGAAACTTTGAAACTTGTGTGCTACCAAACCCTCTTGTCCTAACACTCACCCCTATTGATATTTGTTACTACGGTGGAGGTTCTCGAACAAGAAGGAGTCCATAAGTAATCTAAACGAATATCTAGCAAAGCGAAGTGGTATATTCCTGAGAACTTAGATCAATCACCTTTATTCTTGTTTAAAATAACTTTAATTGAATAATTAGTGTTGTTTGATCACTTTAAATGGACTTTTAGTTAATCAATTCCATATAGTATCTTGCGTTAAATAAGAATAGAATTGAATAATTAATTGTTGATTGATCACTTAAGCCAAGGCGAATCTTGTTTATTTTGTTCTATTCACGAATATTGATTAAATAAGAATAACGACTTTTGCAATGTAATTCCTACGTGATTGACGCGTTTAAATAAAATACTAACTTAGTTTTAGGTATCACGTTGCATATATTGTTTGGTGATGAAATTGTGAAAAAGGAAGGGCTATGATAAGCCTTATTATCATGGGTTGAGAGAAGCATTTTAGGGTGTGTTTTGATGCTTTATATGTACTTTTGTTAGCTTTTGTGAGTTTTGGGCTGTGATCTCACTTATGTGCAAAAGGCGGGATTTATGAGTATAAGTGAGTGAGTGAGCTCGGGAACCAATGAAGAGTTATGTAAGAAGGATGGACCTTGGCTCGTGATTTGAGAGTTGTGATGGAGCATGGAAGAGCAAGGAAGAAAGCTTGAGGAAAAGGTGAAGCAAAGCAAGAAGAAGAAGCAAGGAAAGAAGGCAAAAACAGCAGGAACCGCTGCCAAGGCCGCTGGCAGCTGGCCAGAGCCGCTGGCAGCGGGTATACTAGAGTGAGGGGCTGCCAGAGCAGCTGCCAGCGGGTCCAGAGCAGCTGGCAGCGGCTCTGGCAGAAATTCGGGCTGTTTTGGTTAATTTTCAGCAATTTGGCTTTGTTTTGGCTCGTGTTTTGGATATTATTTTATTATTATTATTGTGTTATGTTATTAAAATATAGAAACATATAAATAGCTTAGTTTTAATTAAGTTTGAGGGAAAAGAAGGAGAATTAAGTCTTGAGAAAAAAAAGCTTTCTAGGGTTTTCTTGGAATTTTCAGAATTCTTTGTTTTGGAATTAGAATCCATGGAAGCTTAATCTTCCGGATTCTTGGTTAAAGATTGAAGCTTTTAGCTACGAATTGTGAGATCTTTCTTCTCTTAATATCTATTGAATATATATTGTTCCTTGAATTAATTTCATGATTTGCTTTAATCAATTGCTAGGTTAGAATTATTGGATTCGCTTGCATCTAATTAATCTTTCCAAAGTAGCAACTTTAGGTTATTGATGCATGCTTTTGGTTGATAACTTGAAGAGGGAATAATATTATTGAAGAAATTAGACCGCTTGTGTTAATTTATTCAATCCTTGTTGATTTCTCCGTTTATTTTCTTCTTGTGGATAATTTAGAGCGCTTGTCTTGAATTGTGCATTGGAAAGGGTTAGAAAGGAGCGCTTTGCTATTTCTAACTATTTATGAGAATTTAGAATCTAGGAATTCTACAACAAGGTGTTCAATAGAGCTTGATTGAGGAGACTTCTATGATCAATTTGTATGTTCATTAGTGGATTTCGCATAACCAAGACCGTTCTTCTCATTGATTACCTATTCATTACGTTCGTTGTTCTTACTTAGTTCATTTATCATCATTGCTCGTGAAAACCCCCCCCTCGTTACTTAGGTTACTACCGTCCTAGAGTATTTCCACTTAGGTTTCCAGTTATTAGTCCCTTTTTCCCTGTGGATTCGAACTCGACTTCCCTAACTACGTTTATTTGCAGTTAGCTTAGTTGTGATATTTTTGGTTGCATACGACTGAGGCACACCAAATTTTGGCGCCGTTGCCGGGGAACTAGGCGTTACCGTTTAATTGTTTATCTTAGTAGAATTTATTTTAGGATTGTTCTTAGCTTTTTTTTTTCTTTGTTTGTTCGCTAGGGTATGATAAGTACCCGTTCTGCTAACAAAGAAGTTTTGCAGTTTGATCCAGAAATTGAAAGAAATATTTCCAGGTCGCGAAGAGAGGCAAGAACAAACCCCAGTGAATCAACATACATCTTCAACATTCAAGAAGAGGAAGTGATGGCAGAAAATCGAACACTGAGAGAGCTAACAGCTCCTAACTTGAACCAACAGCCGTTGTGCATCGCATATCAGCAGTTGGAGGAAGGTGCTAATGTTGAGATCAAATCTGGTCTAATTCATCTATTGCCGGCATTCCATGGCATGAAGGGTGAAGATCCAAATAAACATCTGGCAGAATTTCATGTGGTATGTACTAGCATGAAACCGATTGGGATGACTGATGAGCAAATTCAGTTGAGAGCATTTCCTTTTTCTCTCAAAGATGCAGCGAAGGATTGGTTTTACTATCTTCCCCCAGGGAGCATAACAAATTGGGCAGGTTTGAAGAAGTGTTTCTTAGAGAAGTATTACCCAGCCACTATTTCTGCAAGCCTTAAGAAAGCTATCAGCAATGTGGATCAGAAGGAAGATGAGTCCTTGTATGAGTATTGGGAGAGATTCAAGAGATTGTGTGCTAGTTGTCCGTACCATGGGTATTCCGATCAAGACCTCATCCTATACTTCTATGGAGGTCTAACAGATGATGATTTGAGGATGGTGAATGCAGCAAGTGGTGGAGGGCTAGTGAATAAGACTCCAGGAGATGCAACTAGGCTGATTGCAGAGCTAGCAGAGAATTCTAGGCAGTTCAGTCAGAGAACTCCCACGCGCCGGGTGAATGCAGCAAATTCAAATACAACTGAGTTAGAGAGTCAAGTAGCTGATTTGACTTCTATGATGCGTGAGTTCATGGTGAACTCAAGGAATCCACAGCAACTGAATGCTTGTGGTTTATGCACCTCCACAGGACATCCCACTGATGCATGTCCTCAATTACAAGAGGAACAGAATGAGCAGGCCAATGCAATGGGTTTCCAAGGGCAAGGTCCTCAGAGAAGATATGATCCATATTCGAATACATACAATCCAGGATGGAGGGATCATCCAAATTTGAGATATGGGAATTCCCAGGGGAACCAACAACAACAGCAAAATGCTCAAGGCCAGCAGCAATATCAGCAATATAGGGCACCATTGGCCAAACCTCAAGGCCAAAGCTCAAATTCGAATGATATGTCAACTGATGAAATGATTAGATCACTAACTTCTAATGTTTCTACTATGCAGCAAAACATGGTGCAATTCCAGCAAGAGACCAAATCCAGTATTCAGAATTTGGAAAGTCAAGTGAGTCAAATTTCAACTGCAGTGAGCAGACTTGAAGCTAAGGATTCGGGAAAACTTCCATCTCAAACGGAGTTGAATCCTAAGCAACAAGCCAACGCTATTACATTGAGAAATGGCAAGGAGCTGAAAGAGACTGAAATTGCAACTAAGAGGGCTGAAGAGTTGATTGGAGCTGAGGAGAAGGAAGTGGAACATGAAGCTGTAGCAAATCCTCCCACTTTTCCATCTTATGAACCCACACCACCTTTTCCTGAAGCTTTGAAAGAAACGAAGAGGTATGAGAAGGACAAAGATATCTATGAAACATTCAGCAAGTGTGAGGTAAACATTCCCCTTTTGAATTTAATAAAGAGTGTTCCTCGATTCGCTAAATTTTTGAAAGAACTTTGTACTATTAAGAGGAAGCACAGGTTAGGAGGGAAGGAAAAAGTGAAAGTCAGTGCTCATGTTTCTGCAGTTTTCCAAAAGAAACTTCCTGAAAAATGCAGTGACCCTGGTATGTTTACTGTTCCAGTTACAATAGGGGACACCACTTTTCGTAGAGCAATGTTGGATTTGGGTGCATCAATTAATGTTATTCCATATTCACTGTTCAAATCTTTGGAACTTGGACCCTTACATGACACCGGGGTAGTGATTCAATTAGCTGATAGATCAAATGTTTATCCTAAGGGAGTAGTGGAAGATGTGCTTGTGAAAGTTGATGAACTAATTTTTCCTGCTGATTTTTATGTGCTTGATATGGAACATGATAGACAAGCAGTACCCATCTTGTTAGGAAGACCTTTCTTGAAAACTGCTAGGACTAAAATTGATGTTTTTACTGGTTCTTTGACTATGGAGTTTGATGGACAAGAAATTGTGTATAACATCTAAGATTCCATGAAATACCCTGTTGACACTCATTCTTTGTGTTCCATTGATATCATTGATCCTATAGTGCAGGATGTCTTCAATGTTGAGGGCGAGGATGCGCTCCTCACTTCCATTTCTAATGATTTATCTGCTGATTGTTTGGATATTCCTTTGCCTAATAGTGTGCAGATGATGGTAGCAGAGTTGAATGGTCATTCCAAGCTTCCACTTAGACCACCAGGTTCGACACCTACCCCATTGACAGTGCCTACTGATAAACTCTTACCTTCTGTTTTGCAGGCACCCCAGGTGGAGCTAAAACCACTTCCTGATCATTTGAAATATGTGTTCCTTGGTCAGAACGATACTTTACCTGTCATAATTTCAAGCAAATTGACTAAGGAGCAAGAGGACAAGTTGGTGACAGTGCTGAAAGAGCACAAGTTAGCTATTGGATGGACCATTGCAGACATTAAGGGAATAAGTCCATCCACTTGCATGCATCGTATTCTGTTAGAAGATGATGCCAAACCTGTGAGGCAACCTCAGCGTCGCCTAAATCCTCCCATGATGGACGTGGTAAAGAAGGAGATCATAAAATTATTGCAAGTAGGAATGATATTTCCTATATCTGATAGTAAATGGGTCAGTCCTACGCAGGTGGTTCCTAAGAAAAGTGGTGTGACTGTGGTAGAAAATCAACAGGGTGAAATGGTTCCTACTAGAGTTCAAAATGGTTGGCGAGTTTGCATTGATTATCGTAGGTTGAATGCAGTAACTAGGAAAGACCATTTCCCTTTACCTTTTATTGACCAAATGATTGAAAGACTTGCAGGGAAATCCTATTACTGTTTCCTTGATGGGTATTCTGGGTACTTTCAAGTGCCCATTGCACCTGAAGATCAGGAAAAGACAACTTTTACATGTCCTTTTGGCACATTTGCTTATCGCCGTATGCCTTTTGGCCTATGTAATGCACCTGCAACCTTTCAGAGATGCATGATGAGCATCTTTTCTGAGTTTGTTGAGCATTTCATGGAGGTATTTATGGATGATTTCACTGTGTATGGTGATTCTTTTGATAAATGCTTGCATCACTTATCTATGGTCCTCAAAAGATGTATTGACTCTAACCTTGTCTTGAATTCTGAGAAATGTCATTTTATGGTCCAACAGGGCATTGTGTTAGGTCATGTAGTTTCTTCTAGAGGTATTGAGGTTGATAAGGCTAAGATTGACACTATTCAGTCTCTCCCTTATCCTACTAATGTGCGTGAAGTGCGTTCTTTTCTTGGCCATGCAGGTTTCTATCGTAGGTTCATTGAGAGATTCTCAAAGCTTGCAAATGCTATGTGCAAATTGCTGCAGAAAGATGTGAAATTCCACTTTGATGATGATTGCAAGAAGGCTTTCGACGAATTGAAGGCTAAGCTCATTTCTGCTCCTATCATTCAAGCCCCAGATTGGTCTCGACCATTTGAGATAATGTGTGATGCGAGTGATTATGCAGTTGGAGCTGTTTTAGGCCAGAAAGTAGGGAGGGCATCTCATGTGATCTATTATGCCTCAATGACCCTCAATTCAGCCCAACGAAACTACACTACCACAGAAAAAGAGTTGTTAGCTGTAGTATTTGCTCTAGAAAAGTTTCGATCTTATTTGCTTGGTACTAAAGTAATTGTTTTCACTGATCATGCAGCTCTTCGCCACTTGATGACGAAGAAAGAGGCCAAACCAAGACTAATAAGATGGATTCTGCTCTTATGTGAGTTTGAGTTAGAAATCAAGGACAAGATAGGCGCGGAAAATCTAGTTGCTGATCATTTGAGTCGTTTGACCCATATTGTTGATCAACCATCATTCCAATATCAAATCCTAGGAGAATTTCCGGATGAATCTCTATTTGCTCTTAAGGATTTGCGCCCTTGGTTTGCTAACATTGTGAATTTTCTGGTTTCTCAACAGTTTCCTCCAGGTTTCACAAAGTCTCAAAAGGACAAGCTTCGAACTGATGCGAAGTACTATGCATGGGATGATCCATACTTGTGGAAGTTCTGCTCCGATCAAATCATTCGCAGATGCATTCCCGAAAATGAGGTGATCCCCATTCTCACCTTCTGTCATTCTCATGCTTGTGGAGGACACTTTGGAGCCAAACGCACAGCAAGGAAGGTTCTCGACTGTGGTTTTTACTGGCCAAGTTTGTTTCGAGATTCCTATGGATTTTGTAAATCCTGTGATAATTGCCAGAGAGTAGGTAACATTTCCCAGAAAAGTGAAATGCCCCAATCCTCTCTTCTATATTGTGAAATATTCGATGTTTGGGGTATAGATTTCATGGGACCATTCCCTATTTCTTACGGTTTTACTTATATACTTCTTGCTTGTGATTATGTGTCGAAGTGGGTGGAAGCAATACCCACTAGGACTGATGACTCTAAAGTGGTTTCAGGTTTTATCAAAGCTTACATATTTTCTAGGTTTGGAATCCCAAGGGCGTTGATAAGTGACCGTGGAACACACTTTTGCAACCGTACAGTGAGTGCTTTGTTGAGGAAGTACTCGGTTCACCACAAAATCTCCACGGCTTATCACCCACAAACCAATGGGCAAGCCGAGGTGTCCAATAGAGAGGTGAAGTCAATTCTGCAGAAAACGGTGAATCCGGATAGGAAGGATTGGAGTTTGAGGTTGGAGGATGCTCTATGGGCGTACCGCACCGCATACAAAACACCTATCGGGATGTCCCCTTACCGCCTTGTCTTCGGAAAACCGTGCCATCTACCGGTTGAGCTTGAGCATAAAGCATATTGGGCGGTTAAGTCATTCAACATGCAAATGGATGAAGCAGGTGAACATCGGAAATTGCAACTCCAAGAACTAGAGGAGATCCGGCTTGAGTCCTATGAGAATGCAGATATTTATAAAGCAAAGACCAAGCTATGGCATGATCGAATGATCACGCGGAAGGAGTTTAAAGTCGGTGACAAAGTACTCCTATATCAATCCCGACTTAGATTATTTCCGGGAAAACTTCGGTCCCGTTGGGAGGGCCCTTTTCAAGTGGCGAATGTATATCCGCATGGAGCAGTTGAAATTCAAAGCCTCGAGACCGATAAGATTTTCAAAGTCAATGGCCAAAGGCTCAAACCCTACTTCGAGGGTTTCAAAACCGAGAACGTGGAGTGCATCGATCTCTACGAGCCATCAATGGAGTAGTGAAGTGGGATGAGCCACGTCGAGCCAACGACGTAAAACAAAGGCGCTAATCGGGAGGCAACCCGATCGAAAACTCTTCCCCATTACTTTTCGTAGTTTAGTTTTTATTTTTTTCGTGTGATGTGAAGAGTGTTTTTATTGTTTTTGTATAGGTGGAGGCCTTGGGAGCAATTTTTATGCGCGAAACGCAGCAAAAACAGAGCAAAACAGAGACAAGGGGGGCCTTCCCTGCAGAAGCCGCTGGCAGTTGCTCTGCAGCCGCTACCAGCGGGTCTTCTTGCAGCCCAAACCCCTTTGTTTCTGTCCCAGCCGCTGGTAGCTGCTCCTGAGCCGCTGCCAGCGGGCCCCCCCTCTACGTTTTGTTAATTTCAAAAAAAAAAAAAAAAAAAAAAAAAAAAAAATCACCAAAATCTGCCAGAGCCACTGGCAGCGGGCCTCAAGCCGCTACCAGCGGCTCCTACAGCTCTCCCAGATTTTTTTTTTCCCCTTATTTCCCCTTTTCCAACTCCAACTTCATTATCCCCCAATTCACATAAACCCTTACTCCTTTTCTTCTCCTTCTCTCTACTCATTCATTCCCCTACTCCAATTATACCAAATTCCTACCAATTTCCCTTTCCCAAATCTTCATCTTTCATCAAATTCTCAATTCCCATCACAATTTCACCTAAGGTTTACCATTTTTCTTGATTTCAATTGTGAAATTGAGTTGGTTGTGTGGAATTGCAAGCTTAATTTATTTTCATTGAAGGTGAAGGTGAAGGTGCAAGTGAACATATTCCTTTTTATAGCCATGGGTAGAGACAACAAGAGGTCTAAAGAATCATCTCCATCAAGACCCTCAAGGGGCAAGAAGCAAGGGGCTTCTTCAAGTCAAGGGGAGGCACCTCCATTGCCTCAAGGGGATGGTTTCATGGGTGTTCGGTTGCATTCCAAGGAGAAGGGCGTATGGACTAAGCTTCAACAACCCCGACGAACGGTGCAATGCACCAAGTTCTTTGACTTAGAAGCTCTACAAGAGCTAGAGATGGAGGAAGGAGTGCGGCTCTTGCTAAGGAACGTGGGTCTCGAGAATTTCATGACCAAATGCGCTCCCACCTATGTCAGGTATACATATGAATTCCTTTCAACGCTTACTAAAGGACGTGAACAAATATCCTTTAATTTGAACAATAGGAATTATGTGATGTCTTATGATGATTTGCGTATGGCATTTGGTTGGGATGCACCCCCATTGGTGAACCGTTGGGGTGATTATAGCACGTACTCGTCCCGAACATTTTGGAGGGCTATAACTGGTTGTGAAGTTGACCCTCATGGTGATCATAGCTTCAAAATCACCCACCCATGCCTTAGACTGGTGCATAGGTTTATATCGTCCACTATTCTATGCCAAGGGGAGGCCACTAAGGTCCCCAAAGTCACATTGTCGTATTTGTGGGCGATGACCCCTGAAGGTGTCGGTACGCCCAATTGGGTGGAGATTTTTGTTGATAGTTGTGTAAAGGTGAAGTCCAACTCCAGTGGCCATATTAGTATGGGTGGCATGGTCTCTTTGCTAGCCTGTTATTTGAATGTTCCACCCCCTGAGGATCTTGTGCCAGTAGACTCGACATACTTGACATATAACATCATGACTCTGGTCAAGATCGGTTTATTATCGCGTTCCCCCGTCGCCGGTAGTTATTTCTGGCGATACGGACCGCAGGGTTTGAACTATTTGAGACTTCCTCGCCCCGAGGGACGAGCATTACCTTTTGGCCCTACTGCTGCAGACTTTTTCCTTCCGCCCGACCCGGATG